TTGTCCGAAGCTGAAGAAGAAAGGAAAAGCTGCTCCAGATGGATGCAAATGACTCTGACATATCATTGGTTGCTTCATCAACAACATTTCATTCATATGAATGGATATTAGATTCGGGTTGCACCTATCATATGTCCCCTAATCGGGAGTGGTTCTCTGACTTAGTAGAACTAAATGCAGGAATTGTTTATATGGACAATGACAATGCCTGTAAAACTATTGGGATATGTTCAATTCGATTAAAGAATCAAGATTGATCGACCAGAGTTCTGACTGTTGTCCGATACGTGTCCAGTTTGAAAAAAAATCCCATCTCATTGGGAGCCTTGGAATCCAAAGGCTTAGTAGTCACTATGAGAGATGGAGTTTTAAAAATCACATATGGTGCACTTGTGATGATGAAGGGCATCAGGAAAAATAATTTGTATTACTACCAAGGTAGTACAATTATTGGAGCAGCTGCAGCAGCTTCCGGAGGTGATGATTTGGACGCAACCCAGTTGTGGCATATGAGGTTGGGACGTGCTGGAGAGAAATCCTTGCAAATTCTATCAAAGAAAGGATTATTGAAAGGTGCAAAGGCTTGCAAATTAAACTTTTGCGAGAATTTTGTTATGGGAAAGCAGAAGAGAGTGAAGTTTGGCACAACTATACATAATACAAAAGGTATTGTGGATTATATTCACTCAGATGTATGGGGTCCTTCAAAGACATCGTATTTGGGAGGAAACCGTTATTTTGTAACTTTTGTAGATAACTTTTCCAGAAGAGTTTGGGTGTATCCGATGAAGTCTAAAGATGAAGTGTTTCTAAAGATGAAGTGCTTCAAATTTTCCTAAAATGGAAAAATATGATCGAGAACCAGACTGGTAGAAAGATCAAACGTCTTAGCACGGACAATGGAGGAGAATATAAAAGTGACCCATTCTTTGACGTTTTCCATGAGTATGATATTGTTCGACACTTCACTGTTAGAAATACACCACAACAGAATGGGGTGGCAGAGCGTATGAATCAAACACTATTGGAGAAAGTTCGATGTATGTTGTCTAATGTTGGGTTAGGTAAGGCATTTTGGGCTGAGGCTGTGACATATGCTGGTCATCTCACCAATCGTCTGCTGTCATCAGCTATAAGAGGAAAAATACCATTTGAGGTATGGTCTGGAAAATCTGCTACTAATTATGATTCTTTACATGTATTTGGATCCACTGTCTATTATCATGTGAAGGAATCCAAGCTTGATCCGAGAGCAAAGAATGCTCTATTTATGGGAATCACCCATGGAGTGAAATGATTCCGCCTTTGGTGTTTAGACACCAAGAAGATAATTTGTAGCAGAGATGTTACCTTTGATGAATCTGCCCTAGTAAAGAAGGTAACAAGTGAAGCTGTCCAGACAAGTAGTACTCCGCAGCAGGTGGAGCATACTCCAAAATAGGTGGAGTTTCTGCAGACGATGATCCCAGAAGTTGATGCAGTTGATTCTTCAACTCCAATAGAATAATCAGAAGATGAAGATGTTCAAACCCAAGAACCATTAGAGACACCAGAACCACTTGTAGTTACAAGGCCAATGAGAGAAATTCGTAGACCTGCTCGATTTGTTGATATGGTGGCCTATGCTCTTCCAATTGTTGATTATGATATCCCTATCACTTACCAAGAAGCAATACAAAGCTTGAAAAGTGATAAGTGGAAAAGTGCCATGGATTAAGAAATGTAATCTCTCCAAAAGAACAATACTGGGAAACTGGCACAATTACCGAAAAGTAAAAGAGTAATTGGATGCAAGTGGGTATTTGTAAAGAAAGATGGATCTCATAGCAAGAAAGATGTTCGCTACAAGGCACAGTTGATAGCTAAAGGCTACGCTTAAAAGATGGGAATCGACTACAATGAAGTATTTTCCCCTGTTGTGAAGCATTCCTCCATTAGAATATTGTTGGCCTTGGTAGCACAGTTGAATTTGGAGCTAGCTTAACTTGATGTAAATACGTATTTCTTGCAAGGTGATTTAGAAGAGAAGATCTATATGACTCAGCCAGAAGGATACAAAGATGGTGGTTGTGAGAAATGGGTTTGTAAGCTGAACAAATCGCTATATGGATTGAAGCAATCTCTGAGACAGTTGTACAAGCGATTTGATAGCTTTATGAGGAGGCAAAAGTACACTAGAAGCAAATATGATCATTGTGTGTATTTGCAAAAGCTCAAAGATAGATCTTTCATTTATCTTCTCTTGTACGTTGACGATATGTTGATCGTTTCGAAGAGTCAAAAGGAGATAGACAAATTAAAGGCTCAGTTGAATCAAGAGTTTGAGATGAAAGATCTATATGAGGCCAAGAAAATTCTTGGTATGGAGATAAGCAGAGATAGACAGAGAGGGAAATTTTATTTAACATAGAAGCAGTATCTGAGAAAGGTATTACAATGTTTTGGCATGAATGAAAATACCAAACATGTAAGTATCCACTGGCTTCTCATTTGAAACTTAGTTCTCAATTATCTCCTAAAACTAACGAAGAACAAGAGTATATGGCAAAATTTCCATATGTTAATGCAATTGGGAGCTTGATGTATGCAACACTGTGTACGCGTCCTGACATTTCACAAGCAGTTGGAGTTGTGAGAGTGTACATGCATGATCCTGGAGAAGGACATTGGCAAGCTGTGAAATTGATTCTACGGTATCTCCAACAAACCGTGGATGTTGGTTTAGTTTTTAAACAAGATGAAACACTTGGTCAGTGTGTGGTTGGATATGTTGATTCCGAATATGCTGGTGATTTGGATAAGCGTCGATCAACTACTGGGTATTTGTTTACTCTTGCTAAAGCTCCAATAAGTTGGAAGTCTACTTTGCAATCTACGGTGGCTTTGTCTACTATAGAGGCAGAATACATGGTAGTTTTAGAAGCTGTGAAGGAAGCAATTTGGCTTAACAGGTTGATGAAAGACTTGGGAGTTGTTCAAAGTCATATTAATCTCTATTGTGACAGTCAGAGCGCTATTAACTTAGCGAAAAATCAAGTCTACCATTCAAGGACTAAGCATATCGACTTGAGGTATCACTTTCTGCGAAAGATCTTTGAAGAATGAAAGATTCTACTTCAGAAAATTGCGACATCAGAAAATCCTGCAGATATGATGACCAAGGTGGTAACAGTAATCAAGTTCAATCATTGTTTGAACTTGATTAACATCCTGAAAGTTTGAGCACCTTCGGTGTATGGCGTTTGTGAGCGCAATTAGAGGCACTACATTAAAAGAGCTTCATGAAATTTGGGGAGTTAAAGAAATTGAGTAGACTTGGTAATTTCAAGCCAATGTGGAGATTTGTTATGTTTGGCTTGAAAAATTAGCAAATTTGAAAGTTGATATCTTTGGTTGGTGGCTAACTTGTACACATCGAAAAATTCTTTGGTAGGTGGCCAACTTATTTTTCATCTTTGGTTCATAAAATATTAGGTTATTTATAAGTTTAGTCCTTAAAACTCAACTATAAATAGGCCTAAGTATTTCATTAGAAATCATCACAAAACAAGTTCTCTCTTCCTCTTGTTTTCTTCGTTCTCTCACTTTGAGAATTCTAAAGAATTCCATTTGTTGTAATATTTGTTGATAGTGAAGTTATCATCCGGTGTGGTGCCCGAGGAGTAGACGATATTCTCGTCGAACCTCGCAAATTTAGTGTGTTCTCTCTTTTATTATTTTTTATTCGGTTTTTTCATTGTGTTTCAATATTCAATAGTTTGACGGGTTTATTCGCTGTGCAACCTTTGATAGTTTTGATCTTGACATTTTAGGTCAATTTTAAAACTAGAAGTAACCCGGTTTCCTAACAAAGATAACTGAGATATACCCTTTTGTACTATCTCTGTCCCCATCAAAGTCTCTTTGAAAGTTCTAGAGTCTCTCAACGTCGAGGATGATGGCTTCCTTTTGATCGGAGACTTAATGATTCTAGTTTGGGACACACCACTATTTTCTTTTTCACGAAAAAATCTAATGTGTGAACCGTCCATTAATCTACCATTCCCTTTCTTGACCGTTTCCTGTGCACCTGCCTCACTTTTAAATCTTATAAAAGCAAACTTATAAAGCTTTTCTCTTCTCCTCGGACTGTTAAACGCAATAAACAAGTCTGTCACATTTCCATACCCCTGGAAAGCTTCCTTCAAGGTAAGAGTATGTATCCTTTTGCTGACGTTTTCCACGAACACAATATAGCCTAAGCGGCCGATGCTGATTGATCAAAGGTTGCTCCGGTCTCCTCCTCCTCCATATCTCCTGCTCACTCTGCCACTCGCTTAATTATCACACAACTAATTTACGAAAACCTTTAATGTTTTCATTGTACCTTTTTTGTGGTTGGATTAGAGTTAAAAAAATGCAATATTTCTTTACTGTAAAGAAGTTTATCAATTTTTTAAATTTAATTTATATTTGAATAAAAATAGAAATACTTTGTCAAGGTATTTTATTCATTTATTTTGAATAATATGATATAATTATAAAATAATATATGTTCAAAATCTTTTTAATCATTAATAATGCATACATTTTACAAATATTATTGTTTAAGATTTAAATCTCTAAGAAAAATAACATCCTTTTTATATATTGAGACAAATCAATAAATTAAAATGTTTTTTTTAAAAATCAATAAAATTAAAATATAATGATAAAATTTAGTATGAACTTACTGGGTGAATTTGAGAGTCCTTGAATAAAATATCATGAACTAAAGATCATATTTGGGCTTCAATATTGTTGTCGGCATTATTATTTTCTATGAAAAATGTATAAGGTCAAAAGACAGACAGCTAGTGGATGTCCACAAGTGATTGGCACACTTAAATTACAAGTAAACCCCCTCATGTTAAAGTAAAGTGGCAAAATCGCAAATAAATCCAAACCCCAATGGCTTTCTCTTAACAACAATCACTTATAATCCAAAAAACGTCCCCTGCTTTCCACTCCCTTCGCGAACAGACACCCACAAAAAAGAAGCCGATAATGGGAAGCTCTAGATTCCCCTTCTGTTTCCTCGCGATTTGTGCAATCCTTTCCGTCCACGTGGCGCATTCAGCTTCGTCTCCCACCCTCTATTTCGGCGGCGACAATTTCCTCCCGATCAAATCGGAGTGCAGCGGATCAATCGCGGAGTGCCTGATGGTGGGCAACGAGGAATCATCGGACTTCGACGCTGAGTTCGCCATGGGATCCGAGATCTACAGGCGCATTTTAGCTAGGACCCGTTACATTAGCTACGGTGCGCTGAGGAGGAACACGGTTCCATGCTCACGACGTGGAGCGTCGTATTATAATTGCCGACCGGGAGCCCAGGCGAATCCTTACTCACGTGGGTGTAGTAGAATTACGCGATGTCGGCGTTAGATTTATTTATTTAATTTTATGTCCTTTTTACTAAAAATAAATAAATTCTGTTGCCTGTCTAATTTTAAAGATGTAATATTTTCTTCTATTTCTTCCTACATTTGATTCATAAATAATTTTGTGTATTGCTGTGGATTGTTGGGTTCCTTTTTTTTTTATCAACCATAGGTATATCTTTTCGAGTGAAACAAATAAATATAATAGGGGTTATATTTAAGTTGCTAATATAATAACGTAATTAATTATACTATCTTTAAATATATTGTATATTTATATTGTTTTTCAATTTTAGCTTATTTTTGTGGCACCAAAATTTTCAATTTTTTTCTTATGAATATTTAGCTATCATATTTGAAAGGGTAGAATCCGGTTTACATGAACATACATATTTAATTTTCTAAAATTTTATGATATATTTAACGAATTAATATATTTCAATCAGACCTCCAACTCCAAACTAACCTTTAAAACATGAAATATATCCGTATTAAATATATACTCCTATCTTTAGGTTTAATTATCGGTATCCAATCGACATAATATCTTATCTCGCTAAATTAACTTATTGATAACATATACTCGTATAAATAAGTATGACATCTCAAATGTCTATGAGAAAAACAAAGCAAAAATAAATAACTATCTACAGAAGTTGAAATCAAGACCTTTGCACTATTTTTCTCTTTTTTATGCTTAGATATTATAACAAAATTTGGATACTTTATTAATCTAATTACTTGGTGGATAACCTGAAACATAATGAGATTCCTCGAGCATGAACTCGTCTACCAAACTAGTATTTTCTATATATAAACCAATTCCACTTTTCAGGTATATGTTAATAAGACAGCTCATCACAATCATAAAATTACCATAGACTTAAACTACTAATGTCAATAATGTTTAGATAGGCTTAACCATATTATATTGAAATAGAAATTAGAGGAGACATTAGGCAAAAATATGATGTATATGTGTATGTAACTGGTTTGCCATGTGAGAAAAGATAGTGACCAAAAGAAACACAGGGTCTAGAAATACCGTGCTGCGAAGTCGGATTTAAACCACTAGGGATCTTTCGGAGACTTAGAATCCTCCTTTGGCCCAGAAGGAGACTTATCTGCATCCATCTCTGTTCGGAGATCATTGACGCTTTGCTCTAGATCATCTATCTTGCTGCCCATATCATCAAGTGCATTAAAGTCAAGGAAATCAGAAAATGCTTGCAATTTAGAGCATGGATATATGCATCCCATTCAGATTAATTGCTTCATTTTGGCTTGAGAAGCACCTAAAGAACAAGGTTAACTGAAATGGAATGAAATGAAATTTGGCAACCACCCATGGCTACTTTCCCCAACAAAAAAGGTTTCCATTTTGCTTGTTGCAAAGCGAATTCTTTAACAAAACGACAACTATTCTTTTTGATGAAGAAACTCATCCCCTCAGGTTTAACTAGATAATAATAAAAAGGATATTCTTGGTAATGATGGAGTCAGATATTGTTTGGAACCTTGATTGCTGCAATATGTAATAACAGAGCCAAATTAGCTAAATCTGCTTAAAGTTCATGAATTCCATATATAATCTAAAACCAGTTCAAAATAAAACCTCACCATCTGTTCAAGTAGATTCTGGACCTGAAAAATAATTAGTTCAGTATAATCTGGATGACAATGAATTAAACCACAGAACCGTAACGTTGAATTTTTTTTGAAACATAACATAATGATATCTCCATGAAGCAACCCATTCTATTTGAGTGCAATGTTCGGAATACACCAAAATTTGTGTGCTCTGAATAACCATGAAGAGAAGCAAACAATCATAAGCCTATCTGCAATATATGAACTTGATAAGTAACTTACAAAAGCTGCCATATCCGCATTGTCTAGTTTCTTTTCTCCAGAATCACTGCCATCCTGCTAACTGAAAGAAAAAAATGAAAACTATACAACACAAAATGCTATCAAGAGTTTCATTATCAGACACCATATAAAATCAAAACACATGATATTTGCTGAAGAAAGCAAAATTTTCTTCCATGAATAAGTTCAAGCCTAAAATTGATGATGGGATATCAACCAATGTTACTTGGACTCGGGTCTGAAGACAAATATGGTTATGTTTAATCTTTTTTCAAGTTTCTTCATGCATTTGGAGAGTAACATAGAATTATAACTTGATTAGACCCCAGAAGTAATCACTAGTTAAACCTAAAATTAAATGCCACTGCAACACAAAAATAATTAAAACCAGGACTACATTTAAACAATTTTTTCGATCGTTAAATTCAAGCTGCATTAACAAGCCGAAGAACGAGACATAATGTTATGAACAGGTCAGTTTCCACATAGTTTTAGTATTTGAATCTAATACGCGGATTCATTATCCCAAGCATTCCGAAACATTTATTGATCGTAAACAATCCTCCATTTCACATTTCTTATTTTGAGAAATAGATTACAATAGAACGGATCAGATCCAATGACGGGAAAACTCAAAACCCTAATCTAATAATGTACTTTGGATAATTACAAAATTAATGAAAACAAGGATTAGATTAAATTTAAGTAAAAAAATAGAGAAAATAATTCAATTGTGGAAAATGAAACATACCATTCTCAGAAATTTGTTGGAAGAAAGGCAATGGGTAACTGTTTGGGAGAGAGTGACTGAGACAGTGAAGCGCCAAGATGACTATAAGATTTGTGGAACTGGAATTACGATTTTCTCCCACTTTTTGCGCCGATTACATCAATGAGATATGATTGTCCAAGGATATTTTTGTACACATAAATAAATTAAAATGTATTTTCTTTTACTTAATTATAATTTAAAGATTTAATTAAAAAATAAATGTTTAAATTATATTTTTTAATTTACAATTTGAAAATGCTTCCGTAATGGAAAAGTTGGTTCTATACTAACCTCACAGGTTTAAATTTTTAATTTTTATTGCGAAAAATTATTTTTGAAGTGAAACTATTATTTTATTCTCAATTATTTAATTTTAATTAATTTTTAAATCAATAGACATACATGTATAATTATTTATTATTTATTATTTATTAATGCTTAAATTGATTGTCATATATAAACTAACAGAACTTTAAAGATTTTTTACTATAAGTACATATATTATTTTTTCGACAAAAATAAATTTCTAAATTATCACTTCGTAATAATTTTTAGTCTACATGTTAAAAATATTGATAACATATTTTTTTAACGAAACATTTCATATATAAAATATTATTACTAAGAAAAAAATATTATATTTCTAATTTACAACATAATGTCTAAAATATACATTTTATCTTTTTGAAATTATCTTTTAACATTAATCTTAAACAATTAAATTTTTAATTACACTTTTCAAAAATACATTTTAAAGTATTTTTAAATCACTTTTCAAAAGTAGTATAAAATAATGTTTAATTTATAAAAACCGTGAACTCATTAAGTGACTTCGCTGATAAAAGAAAATGATATTCTCCCTTGAGGTCTTGAGTTCGAACAGTTGCGTTTGAAGGGTGTGTATGTTATCAATTAATTAAGAAAATGTTGAACATATATTACTTTACAATCACCCTAAATTATTAAAATTACTAATAATTGTTATATAATGTTTTGATCTTAAATGTAAATATCTTGACTATAAGATGATTGGTGTCTGACATATGATGACAATAATTGTTTGTAGGATGATTCACACAAAATAATTACAAGCATTGAATGTTTGTTTCTAATAAATTATGTGAAATTGTCATATATCTCATCGTGGGATTGTTGTCATCTAAGGATTACGAGGATTACGAGGCTCCAGATGGATCCCGGGTAAAGGTGATTTTCGGATAACATTTCTAGATGATGTCTATAAAGATGGTATAACATTTGTCCCCTTAATCGAGAAACTATTATAAATTAGTATGATTCGATATTGGTAGAGAATATATCCTATATATGTTGATTTTATCCAATAACAGAGTTATTTCTGTGCTATCATTTTAAAGATAGAAGTAGCTCATTTCTCTTTTTAAAAAAGATCGGTCAATAGGCGGGATCGTCTTTGCATTGACAAAGACATCTCAATGCTTATGTTCAAATGGAGGATAATAGTCCTGAGTATGTCAATAAAGGATATGATGCGGAGGTAGCTTGATGCTATTTAATGGTAATTAATAATTTATTACTGCGGAAGGTAGACATCAGAGGTGAATATTCGATCGAGTTGAGTAAAAAAATTTCGAGTCATGCGAGTTGACGAGTCGCATTTTACAACTTGAACTTCACTTTAATTTTTTTTGAGCTGAGTTGAGTTTAAGAAATTCGAGTTGAGTTATTCGAGTTTCTATATTAATTTCATTATAATTATTTATAGTATTATGACAAGGATTTTTTCCAATTTTTTGACTTTATCTAACCATATAAGATATATATATATTATATTATTTTCACGTTAAAATGTTATTTAATCTATCAAATACAATCTAAAATTATGAAATATATTCATAATATTATATTTTAAAGAAAGGATTTTGAGGGTAAAATATTGATGAAAGTACAAAGGAGTCAATGAATTGACGGGAAGACAAAATATACAAACAATTATAGTCAAAAGAGCAAATTGAGTTAAATGCAAAGTTAAGAGACTAAATAAAAAGAGAGATATATTACATTTTTAGTAAAAAAAAAGTAAGAATTGAAGTTATATAGGTATTCTATTGTGATATATGAGCATGTTATTCAAATTTAATAAAAACAAATTTAAAATAATGATGAATTGAAGAAATAAGGAAATAATGAAAAATTGAGAGACTAAATTAGAAAATAAAAAGTTTGTTATCATAAAGAGGAATTGAACGTACATATGTATTCTACAATAGTTTAGGAGCATGTGGTTCAAAGTTGATAAAAAATGGACTTAAAATAAAGGATGGATTGAAGAAATAATGAAATTATAAAAAAATTGAGGAACTAAATTGAAAATTTGTTATCAAAAAGAAGATTGAAAGTACATATGTATTATACGATGATTTAGGAGCATGTAGTTCAAAGTTGATAAAAATTGGGTTTAAAATAAAAATTGGGTTTAAAATAAAAGATGAAATGAAGAAATAATGAAATTATAAAAAAATAGGGATTAAATTAAAAAATAAAAAATTTGTTACCAAAAAGAGGAATTAAAAGTACATATGCATTCTACGATGGTTTATAAGCATATAGTTTAAATTTGAAAAAAATACTTAAAATAAAGGATGAATTGAATAAATAAGAAAATTATAAAAAAAATTGAGGGATTTAGTCAAATTTTTAGTTTGTCGAGTAATTCAAAATTTTAAAATTTTAGCTCGATTTGAATTTAAAAATCGAATTGATAATTCGAATTGACTCGAATAACTCGACTTAAATAACTTAATTTTTTTTTAAAAAAATTGAATTGAATTGAATTTTGCTTATCCTAAAAGATATCTCAACTCTTTTGCCAAGAGAAAAGGCAATTTATCATATCCCAAGTGGACAACCTTACGCTAATAAAATAGGTATGTGCCTCTTAACATTTTTTTAAATTTTACGTTTTTGTTTTATTTTAGTCATATATCATTAAAAAATAAATAAAATTATTAGTATGATAATTTTTTATTTTTTAATGATGACATAATATTATTTTATAATGATAAGTCATCATTATTATTAATTTCTTAATTACGGTCTATCAAGAATAATGATAGGTATGATATTTTAAAAATATATTTTGATGATTAAAATATAATCATAAAAAACATGTGAGCGACTAAATATTTAATTTATGTTTTTTTTATAAATCTGCTAGGAGGCGTACGTTTCCAAAACATAAACCTAGAAAACGCAGCGTTCCAAAGTTGATTCCTTTTTGTCCATCGAAAGCAATAACGGTTATTTCCTTTGCAATTCCTCAAAATTTCCATATATATGTTCTTCCGCATTCTCCCCTTTATTTTCTGAAAATTTCTTGGCTTGTTTTAGTTTTAAGAAGAAAAATCCGATCCTTGATTTTGCTTTGAAGTATTTCGTCTTTTAAATTCTGGGTTTCAATGTTTTCACTTTAAAAGCACTTGTCCTGGGTTATAACATTAAAAAAAAACCCTAATCTCTCAAATCTAGTTTCATAGTTTTCGTTAAACGGGTATTCTGATTTTAGGGTTTAAAGTTTGTGAATTTCGTCAATGGGTGCTTTAGCAAGCAACCGTAAACGCGGGGGAGATGAATACTTCAATTCCATTTTCAACTACAAAAAGAAACCCCCGTATTCAAATTCTCTGGGTTACCAGTTTTGCAAAAAATCTAGATTGTCTTTGATAAATTAAAGCCTGGAAAAAGAAAATTTTCCTTCCAACAGCACTGTCTCTAGAATCTCTCGTTACCCAGAACCTAAGGTACCTTTCCCTAGAGGAGCAGTCCACGCTCCTGTCAGACATCTAAAATTTGGGTTACCCGCTTCACATCACAAACAGGATTTGATTGAAAGTGATTTAGGGAATCTCTTGATTTGTAGATTCAGTAATGTGAAAAGGCAAGCTTGGGATACTTAGAGCCATTTTAAGAAGGAAAAAGAAGTGATTTTTGTGGAGGATGATGAGAAGGAAGGAAAAGGGACGGTTGAAGATGATCTTATTGTTGAAGAAGTGGAGGTTATTGAGAAAGGGAAGGATAATGTGGAAGAAGTTAGGCATTTTCGGCTATCGTCTTCATCGGCAGTTACTGAGTTGAATAATGGGAATTTGAGAGTGGAGAGTCCGTTGGATATGTCGTATATGAGCGAGAAAGGGATGAAGACACTTTTGTTAAAAGAGAAGCTGCCGGATCTAAAGAGTGTAGATGTCGAACTATGCGAGGATTGCATCTTTGGCAAACAAAAGAAAGTGAGTTTTGCAAAGATTGG